AAGTTATACCACAGTGACACTATCTAGAATGTGGGTTCCCAATTAATGCAGCCTGGACACAGAGGGGCCAATTTGTAGGAATGGGAATCTTGTAGGATGGGCCACAGCGGGACCTCCGATTCCCATCAACCCTGATAGGCCTTTTGCAGAGTAACCAGATGCAATGCACATTTACTTCATCCTAAGCAGTGTTAGGAAGAAGTGGGCCTTGTTCTGAGCCATGAAGCATCAGATCTGCAGAAGCAAGGTACCAGGGTCCTGAAGGAGAAGCAAGGAAGCCTCTGATACAGGACATGTCAAAGCTGCCCCTGCTGTCAGCACAGGCTGGCTCTGGGGAAGACTGTGAACCAAATATACCACCTCTGACTTCCTACTGAGGGAAGCAGGTGGAGATCACAGAAATGGAGGAGGTGCACTGAAGGATGGTCTGATGGTCAGCGCAGACCTTGTGAAGACTAATAAGAATAACTCTAGAATCCTGAAGACAAAAAAGACCCTATTCTTTCTGTCAGTCTTGAGAAACTCCATTCAGGGGTTCTGGTCCAGATGTGCTCCATCTTCACTCTTGTTTTCTCTCAGAATGGTGACGCCGTGGAATGAGGAGTATCACCAGAACAGCAGAGGGAGCCAAGCCTGCTCAGAGAGGGAGGTGTCCAGTACCTACCAGCAGCCCAGGCGAGGAGCCATGTAAGAAGGAAACTTATGATCCTCCAAAATAAGTGCCCTCATAGATCCTGGCTGCCCCTGTTCTGAGGCTTGGGAAGCCCAGCAGGATGACTGCTGTGGCTGTCTTCCTTTCTTCTTCATGAAATTTAGTGGGAAATCTCAGGAAGGTCTTGGCCTTGGTCCTAGGACTGACTGTTGGTCAGCAGAGGGAGTTATGTATGGAGAGCAAAGGGATTCAGTATACGAACTCCTCCTGAGGACTGGAGGTGTCTGCAGCCCTGAAAACCAGTCAGCCCTCAGAGGCATTAAGTACCATGCTTACCTGAACTACATCAGGCCAGAAGGTGGGAGACTCAGAGAAGATGAGTTCAGGTGTAAAGTGATGTAAGAGGAATCAAGTTCAGCGGAACTTAGGGAACTCGAGTCTAAGCAGAGATAAGCACGGGTTATGGGGCCATCACTGAAATTGTGATGCTGGGGTGAAGGAATGTGACACCTGTTCATGGCTAGGACATTTTAGGGTCTTGAAATCCCGAAGGAGATCTGCAAGGAGATGGGGAACCTGAGTTATAAACTCTGCACTATGACAAGAGTCCAGATGAGGATTCCAAGGGATGACTGAAGGACACTCAAGTCCAGAGCACAGATAGGGGTTCCAGAAAATTCTCCTATGAACTTCTCTTACTCCCCCACCCACGGTCTTGGGATGGCCTGTAACTCTGCGCCTTCTGTCTTGTTTTAAATTCAATGGTCTTAAGAAACCAAAGGACCTGGCAAGGGAAACCTGACTGAAGTCACCACAGGGAGGATCCCTGGCCTCTCAGGGATGCCTTACATTTTCGTGCTAATTTGTCAGAAGGCATCCTAGCACAGAATGGGTATTTTAAAAGAAATGTAAAAGAACAGCATTAAAATGAGGAGAATCCAAAATTAACATTTGATTCCCTTGTTTTTCGTCTGTCATTATGAAAATGTAAAATGTATGCTGTGTTCTTATTAAGCAAATAAATCCAAAACACCTTGTGTTAGCTGTGGGATGGAATGAGAAGTGAGACCTGACCTGACCCAGAGAGTGGTTGAGTGCAGGAACATAGTGAGAAGTCCTTTAGATCAAGAGTACAAGGACAGGAAGGGTGCAGTGTGGCGTCCAAGGGAGAGCAGCCCAGTGTGGATGCCCCAAAACAAGGGAGTTTGGGAGTTGAGGAAACAGCATTACCTTCTGGGCGAGGGAAGATGATTGGGATGGAAATGCAAAGTAGCCAGGGCCAGGACCTAGGGAGGTGTGACTGACTTAGGGCTGAGGGAAGGGGATGCTGATCAGAACATTCCCCGTAGGTGGTGGACATGGCAGGGAGGAATCAGGCTGGGGTGTATGTAGCCCAGTGATAGAGCACTCGCATAGCCTGTGAAGCCCCCCTGGGTTGTAGCCTCATATCCTCAAAACACAAAACCAAACTATGAAGGGAGGAATCCTGTCGTGGGATAGGAATGGCCGTTACAGCTGAACACACCACACGCACTGCCTGGACTAACGCTGCCATGGTAGAACTCAGTGCTCACTATTTGTTAGGCATCCCTAGTGGAAGCAAAGACAGTTTTGACTCTCTTGGGGATGTTTATTGATCTTTAGTTGAAAGTACGGCTGATGCCAGTGTGGCACTGTGGCTAGTCAGAGAGTGGATGAGGACAGTGCAGCCAAGCTGGACCCACTTGTTGGCTAAGGGACGACTAACTATTCATGAGATCCCAGTGTGGATTCAAGAGAGGGCTCTCTGGTGACCAAGTTATCATACAAGGTCCAGCTTTCCACACGCAACTTCAACCTGAGTAACAAGCCAAGCTATCGCCGTGGAGGAAGGTAACACTACTCTCTGTAGCCTGTCCTTCCCCGTAGTAAACAATGAGTCCTTCAGATCTGTGGACTGGATGGGGATACTATGTTGATAGAGGAAGACCTTTATCAGAGAGAGAGAGAGAGAGAGAGAGAGAGAGAGAGAGACAGAGAGAGATTCCCTCACAGCACAGGTACAGAGAAAATATTTGAAGCAGACAGCTTGAAGAGATTCATTCAGCAACTCAACCTGTATGGGTTTAGAAAGATGATCCCAGAGGACTCTGTGGGGTGTGCTGAAGAGAACAGGAAAATACTGGTAAAGTAGAAAGTATTTTTGCTTCCATATTTTAGTGATGAGAATGTGTTCATATTGGTGCATATCATGAATGATGTATTCAAGGTCTTCATTAAGCAGGAGACATTATTCACTCAAAGTTAAAAGTATGGATTTGACAATATACACATAGATCTTAAACTATATGCTGCCCCCTTATGATATATGCAGGCAGGGGAAAGACTCTTGGGATGTCAGTAAATGTCACATACATGTATTACCATGTTAATCTGTTATCCTTTATCTGTAGTGGAGTCATGCTATTGGATGAATCAATTCGGGTTTTTTGAGGGGATGCCATTAAAGCATTTGGAACAGAGTCTGGCACCCAGTGAGGCTGGTGTGTGTGTGTGTGTGTGTGTGTGTGTGTGTGTGTGTGTGTGTGTGTTGCATGTATGTAAGAGCACGATGTGTGTGCATGCAGCCCGAGGAGGCCGAAGAGAGTGTTGGTTCCTCTGAAAGTGGGGTTAAGGACAGATGTTGGAAGAATGTGAGTCCTGGGAAGTGAGCACACACTCACTGGAAACAGAGGATCTAACTGCTGAGTCATCTTTCCAGCCCCAACAAATAACAACTCTTCACAATAACAATAAGTGGTTTTCTCCATCACACAAAAAATTATGATGTGGTGGTGTCAATATATGCCATATTTCAAAAGGACTGACCTATTCATTCCATTTTTGTTTAGCTCTACCACAACAACAACTTTCACAGAGACCATCCAGAGCTCCTCAAGAATATTTCAGGAAAAGGTGAAATCAGAAATCCGGCTGAGGAGAGCGATGCAGAAACTCCACACGCAAGTGCTGATGAGCAAAGGCCCCGTTCAAAGAAAATAAAGGTTTTCTCTAGCAGAAATTCCCTGCGATTACACAAGGCTGAGGAAGAGGACAGGAAGACTCAGCATGAGGTGCCCACCCATCAATAATCCCCAGGAAAGCTTTCTTTGTGCCTTCTAGTACCTGTAAGCACCCTGGACAAATGTCCCCTTCAGGAGACAGGTGGCCCATGTGGGGAGGACACCTCTATTAATGGTCACCGTTTCTGCTCCAGTGACAAGTGAAATGCAAGGGGCTGGGGAAGCGCCTAGTTGCTCCTCAGGGTACCTCCCATATGGGCGTGTATGATCCATGTACAACACTTGCTGTTCCATGTGGATGGCAGCACTATCTGCCATATCCATAAATGAGTCCTCTGAGGTAGAAGAGGAGCAACAAGAGCTAGTGGAGGAGGAGAATGAGGGGAAAGAGGAGGAGGAGGAGGAGGAGGAGGTGGAGGAGGAGGAGGCACTACACTCAGAAAACACGTGCATTATTTGTACACATTTGAAGTACAAAAAATGTCCATGAACTCACAGGCGACCAAATGCTGATAAAAAAGAATATTTTTGTGTGAAAATAAAGTTTTCTTTTCACAAGATAAAAATTCATGGTGGAAAACAAACATGTTAGAGTCTGGAGTCGGTGTCATATCTAGCCCTGTGCGCTGTTCCCAGACCCTTGGCTTCCTCGTCTGTGGGTTCGCCTTGCCCTTCCAGGTGGAGTAGCAGCAGTTTCAAGACAGATAGAAGCATGCGGCTCCTGACCTACAGGTTTCACCTCCCTCTCCTCAGGTATCTTCCACCAGGAGAGCCCCTTCTCCTGGGTCCCCATCCCAGTCCATGCAGTCAGGAGAGGAGAGCCTCCATGCGGGCACACATCTGGAACTCTACCCACTACTACACCCTAGCCCATTCTTGTCACCATGCTGGGGGTGGGATTCAGTCTGGTGCATAAGGAAGACAGCCACTAGAAACTGTACTCACACTGACAACAGTTGCTATAAAACAATCAGCACTAGGGAACCCTACAAACCACCTCATGCCATCAGAGCAATACTTAGGATACTTGAGATACAAATAGCATTTGGACACTCAACTTTTCCTTGCCTGAGGTACCCTTTCCACACAGCAAGGGCACTGTGGAAGAACAGGACATTGTTTTCTTCCTTCATGGGATTTACTGTTCTTCCCAGATCTGCCAGGCCATTAGCGACAATTCACTGTCTGGCAACAATCAGTTTTGGTGCTAGACTTGCCACAAGGTCCCCCGCATTCCGTTCATACACTGCAGGGGTTTTGACTGGAATAAAGAAGGGGAGAGACCATGAAGGAACCATGACACTAAACACTGATCATCAACACATTTATTTGTATAATGCAGACATGACAGGACCAAAGTAAACCTCAACAGAAACTCATTTCCTGGCAGTTTTCCCTTTTCTTACAGGCCAAGGTATTTGCCTGCCAGTGAAGACAAAGGGGCACAGCAGGAGGGAAGTCCTGACTGCCATCCCCTGCATGAGCACACACATGTCTGGGTCTGGGAGCAGCACATAGTGGGCGGTGCTCTGCAGGGAGGTGGCAGCTCAGTGTTACCCTCATATGGTAGAGGTCTGCACAGCTAGGGTAGTCTGATGGCCACATCATTTGTTGCTTTCTCAGCACGATAACAGTCCAGACTCCATGGTGGTCAAGCCTCCATCCCCAAAGGGATCAGGTGGTCTGGGATGTCTACCTGGAACACATCCTTCCCCCCTTTCCTAGGGATGGGCTCCAGTAACCACCTGGGGTTTGAAATTGGAGTCAGGTACTTCTGTTGCAGGTTGCTGAGGACAGCTTGAGTTTCCAGTTCCACCATCTCATCAGCAGTTAAGGTTTCTGGACACAGCAACGTTGCTCCGATGTCTACAAGCCCTGGGCATACAGACAAACACATACAGATATTTTCTCTTCCATAACTCAAGACTGACTGTCTGGGGGTTGGAGAAATGGCTCAGAAGTTAAACATAATGGTTGCTCTTGCAGAGGACATGGGTTTGATTCCTAGCACTCACATGGTGGGTAACAACCATCTGCACATCAAGTTCCCGGGATTCCAACATCCTCTTTTGATCCCCACAGGCATTTTACGACACGGTTACACCTCCCTACATGCAGGCAATACACTCATATACATAAAAATGATAAATAAAATATTACAGAAAAGGAATGACTGTCTGAGAGCAGGGTCACCGTAGTGTCAAGCCGTGTGTTGCAACATTTACTAAAATGACAGGAAACATGTTCTACCACCTGAACATTGTGTCCAGCTGAACTAGGGAATTCTGGGAAGGGAGACACAGGACTGAAGAAACGAAGGGGACAGTGCCTTGTCCTCAGTAACACATGGGACAGTCAGGTCCTAGCAGACTTGAAAAGGCGGTACTGACTCTCTGAAAGAGCGCCCACTGGTCAGGCAGCCTTCCGGTAACAAGATGCCCCGGAAGGTCAGCAAGTGGCTGGTTCTGTTGCTGGTTGGTGTCCTACCTGAGGTCCTCTGTGCCCTGTGGATGTGACAGGCATGAGAGAGCAGGTAGGTGGCTTGACTCCGAGATCACTTTACTAGCTCGTGTCTGTGCTTCCTGTCATGGGCTATGATGTTTGCACACACACACAGACACATACATAGTCCAGTGCCACATGCAGACACTTTGCTGACATGGACTCTCAGACTACAAACAGGACGATAGGCCCAGAGTGGAGAAGTAACTAATCAAGTCTGTGAGATCCAGGCCTATGCACCCCAGCTCAGTTCCTTTGGTGACCCTTAGAAGAACTGCTACATAGTGAAACTTCGGCACACTCCCCTCTGGCTCACAGCAAAACAGAGACACCGACTTACTGAGCAGCAAGCTGCCGACTCCACTCTGCGTGGCCTACATTGTATTCTGCACGCCATTACTTACCAGCTATCACTCCTCTGCCGTATCGTTCTCCTTCCTGTAGTAAAGCCTGAATCTGCATCAGGTTCATCCCCAGTCTCTCCACCAGCAGTTCCCGCCAAGAATCATCTTCCCAGTCCTTGTGAGCAATGTGGATGGCGATGGTGCGTTTCTGATGGCTGCTCAGCACAGGACACCATCTTGTCTCCAGGGTCTTGATTCCATTTAAGACAAAACCAGCATAAGGCTGCCGGAAGGAGAGGCAGGCAAACTTCATCTTCCTCGGGCTCTCTGGACCTAAACACAGTTTATCACAGCACAGTCCTTCAGGCCCTCTAGCTTGGACCTCACCCGCCCTAGATGTCCCCCATGTGTCCTGAAACCCCACTGAACATGAGGATGCACTGCTTGCCTTTGTCACAGGTCAATGGGGCCCGTCACTGAGCATCCAGATCACAGAATAGGAGGGAGACAGCCAAAGAAAGGCACCCAGAGCACAGTGTGTGGTCAGTGCTGACAGAGGTCACAGAGTCCTAGGGGAACCCTCAATGGGGAGAGCACGTGGATGCAGCTGTGACTTCACAGCCAAGTGTGCTGGCTTTGCTACAGAGTGAAATTCTTGATTTTCCTCATCTCTCTTCCTGTGTCTGCCACTGTCACTGACCCTCTTATCTTCCTGTCCTGCCATTGAAGGTGCTACAGGCCCAGAACTATGTAGCTGTAACCCCAGGGCTGTTGAGG